ATCTAGAATATATTAAATATCACATCAAATGAAAATCATTTTTTGAACGATTTTAACCCTACTACAATTCAATTATTTCAATAATACCTTACTATTTATTTTTCAATACGTAATAAATACTACAAAATCCTTATCGTGTATGAATTTCGAGTTATTGATTCTCAATTATTATCATTCACATCAATAATGAATCTTGATTTCCATGAATCTAGAATTATTATAGATGAATTTATTTCTATTTAAGTATTTAGGAATTTTAATGGGTATTTAAATTCATGTATTAACAATTAATTTTTATGTACCAATGTGGTATAAAGGTTTCTCATTTGTAATATTTCTTCATCACAAAAAAAATTGAATTATAGTATTTGAGAGTACAATTTTACTCAAATTTTTATCCTAAATTTTATTTTCTTTAGTTCGTTTAAGACTTATCAAATCTTCTCAACAAATTGGTATCAAATATTATTTTTACAGCACTTATAAAATATTTCAGAATAACATGCAATATACGTTTAACTCTAACTAATATATACTAAAAGTAATTATTTTTTTATTTATAATCCGAAAAGTATTGATTTATAAAAAAAATCTTTGGATCGTGTTTGCTCAAGCTCAAGCTTAAAGTTTAATTTAGCTTGGTCAAATATATTTTTTTATTTACACATTTTGCTCATGTTTTGTATGACTTAAAATTTTGATAAAAATATAAGATAATCTAAATAATTAATTTTAATTACACATTNAATATGATAAAGCCTATAAAACAACGAGCTACTATCATATCTTCATTATAGATTGAGATCTTCTTCGAACTTGATGCACAAATAGATAGAATAGCAGCAAATAGCATCTTTCTAGCCTGCATATTCGTGGAACTCAATCTCATTTAGAAAGCCTTGCAACTTTTGAACAACATATTTGAACTTTTTTATTTATCAAAATCTACTAAAAAATTAATTATGACTACGTCAAATGGAGGATTTGTATGATTCACAATTTACCATCCATTATTGTCCATAGAATCCATAACTTTTTGTATGATTCAAATTTTTTTTTTAGTTGTCATCTTATTTTAGTTTTTGACTAAGAGAGAGAGAGACCACATTTGATGTGAAATTGAAGAAGTGCCCACTTTCACTTTCACTTTCATTTTCACTTTTTCTTTGAGTTTGATATTCTTTTAGCTAATGTTGTTTTGCACCACACACTATAGCTTATGGTGGTTGTCTCAACTCTCCACTTTCTTGAATATTGATTGCATATTTTTAAATATTAGAAACAAAATTCCCATTAATTGATGAAAATGATAAGTCCATTAGTAAACTCATCACGTAAATACCTTTCTCATTTGTCAATGGGCCAAAATTAAAAGGCCTGATTTTTTTTGGGGAAATTAGGCCCAATACCCTAAAAAATTAACTAATTTGATAAGTATCCAACTAATTAATTAAATCACTGAACAACGTAATTAATACGTTAAAACCTCCCCCAAACCTCCAAACCCTTGAAGCCTTCGTGAATGAGGAGAGTAGCTTCGCCACCATCTTTCACAATTCAAATTGGGTTTGTCACCGGGTCTCCAATCGAGAGCCTGCTCAGCATACCACCAATACTTGTAGAGTGTTTCACCCTTCTAGGCGAACGTCGTCGCCGCATGGTCCTCGATAGAAAAGATGTTGCATGAACACCATCTCACTGCCCAAAGTAGTTAACTCCCGATCAATACGGTGGTGTGGATGGTCACGTTGTCGATGATTCTGATTTTTGTATCGGTACATTTTGGGAGGGAGGCTTGACTGAAAGTAGATGTAAGGAGGCATCGTTTGGTAATTTTTGGAAATGGAAATTTGAGGCGGGCTTATGATGTTGCTTGGTGGCAGTTTTGCGATGTTGGCCGAGGATCATTTGTATTCGGCTTTGCGATGGTGGCGGTTGGAGTGGGGGCTTGCGATTGGGAAAGGTGGTTGACAATTTGGGTTGCAGCCGAGGCAGGTGAGGCAGAATACTGGAGGAAGATTGGTGGTCTAGCGATTGGTTTGCAGTGCTGGTAGAGGGCGCAACTGCAGCAGCGGGTTGTGATTGTGATCGTGGGTTGTGATTGTGGTTGTTGATTGTTCAATTAGTAAAATCAGCGATGGGAATAGCCGGCAAGGATAGGTTGTC